AGCAGCATACGCGTACGAGGCGCTCCTACGGGCGCAGTCAGCAGCCGCCCCTGCAGGATACGACTAGACCCCTACGGAGCAGGGTGGAGGCGACGACCGCGGTGAAGCCGAGCATATAGAAAGTAGAGCTCGCCGACTGTAGCACATACATACACGCCGCCGCACATCGGCACGATCGCCGAATAACTAGCGCGAGGGAGTATCGCTTGCCGACCATACGCGCCCATCAGCAGCATCGTGAAGAACGGCGACGCCGCAGACACCATCTGCGCGAACGACACGTAGATGTACCGCAGCGCGATGTTGCCGAGCGCGACCGAAGCGCAGAAGGCGAGGGCGAGCGTGCGGACCTTGGCCACGGTGCCGACTGGCGTTGGCCGCGGGTCTGCGGGAGGCAGGATGGTGACCAGGCAGACGGCGGAGAGGAGCCAGCAGCAGAGCATGTGCACCGCAGTCAGCACCACCGGGTAAGAGAAGCCGTGGTGCTTGAGGATCCAGCCGTTGAGGTTGCCGATGGCGATGTTGAGCAAGAACCAAGAGACGACACTCGCGGCCGTGGTCCTCAGGTCACCGCTCATGCCGTGACGCTGGCACGGTGAGTAGGTGGGGGCGGCACCCGGAGTAGGACGCGTGTGTGTAGAGAGGTCGGGAACGAAGAGCGGAAGAAACACCTCGCGCAGCTCATTTATTAAATGAACTCGGGGGCACAGGACGCGGTACAAACGGGGTACACCAAAAGGCACAGGCTGCCTGCACGGCGTTCACTCGAACGCCATGCACATGGCGCGGAGCAGCATCGGGTTGGTGTCGAACCCGAGCGGGTCCTCCTCCCAGTCCCGGTGCCCACCCTCCGCGTCATCCTGCTCATCGTGCGCGTCGAGCACCCTGCCGAGGCACAGGACCGTCCCCTTGGGAACGCCTGCCCCTCTCGCGCGCGGGAACTCTCCCTGCACCGCCATCACGAACTTCTCGCGCGCCCACTTGCCGCCACGGCGGCAGTGCTGGGGCGCGCGCTCGCGCAGCTCCTCGTAGAGCTCCTCGGCCCTCGCCACCTCCGCCGCCCAGCCCTCCGCTGACGCCTGAGCCGCCTTCTTCTCCCTGAGCGTCTTGAACACCGGCGGCGGCGCCGGCGATGGCGCCACCTCCGGCTCGCCCGCCGCCTCTGCAGCGCGCCGCCCCTTCCTCGCCTTCTCCTTGAGCCGCTTCCTAGCGCTCTTGGTCAACGCCGGCGCCGCCGCCGCGGCCTCGCCGGCCGCCGCACCGGCGATGGATGTCGAGGATGATGAAGATGATGAAGCCGTTGTCGCGTTGCAAGCGGGGCGGAGAGTACTAACCCGATCCCGATCATCCGGCCCGCTGGTGCGCTT